GGGGGGGGGGGGGGGGGGGGGGGGGTAGGGGGGTTGAGCGCTGCGACGTAATCTCAGGGGTGTAAGCAGGGGTTGGAAAGATGCGGGGGCCAGGGAAGGGGTGAGCACCTGGGTCAGTCCTGGCATTACTTGCATGGCTGTCGGCGGTGACACTCCTGGCTTGATTGCCTCTCGCTGAACACCTGATGGTGCTGATGAGAATCCATCCAGCCTAAGCGCATGTCTGGCTCACTGCATGCGCACGTCTGCTGCCCTTAAAGTTCCTTGCGACGCCCTGCGTCCCGCAGCTACGCCCCCACCGCACTGTCCCAAGGCAACCCCGAGGTGCCGGACGAGTGACGCGCCCGTGCGCCTTGCCACAGCTGGTAGCTCACTTCAGAACGATCCCAGGGCTGCCCGTGTCATGGGCACGCCAGGGCAGCTGCTCTGCTGCTGCAATTGCAGCGGGGGCTTTTCACAACTCAGCAGGCATGATGCAGCAGCTCATCGAACGCGCCCAGAGCAGATCTCGGCAGCAGCCAAGCAGATCAGTTCAGTCAAGTACGGGCTGAAAGTGGAGGCGCTGGAATTCAGACTGCCTCCCTCACACAATTTGTACCGCCTTTTGAGCAGCAGTGAGTGGTGTTTGTTTGTACCGGTGGAGAACTTGCTTCCTCCTGACGTCATTGTCGACGTTTTTTGGTCAATGGTGGTGCCGTGGTGCCGTATGCCGGTGTAAGCTTCAACCCTGGGGCCTGCACTTGAAAGGCTCAACCCGCTGAGTTACATGCCCTCGACAGCAACACACAACACACAGCTGTGCACCCGGGCCTCAGTTGCGTACGGTACATGTGGCGATAAAACAGCAGCCGGTGCTGCCCTAATCACGGGCCCTGCTGTGTATACGCATGCCAAAAACGACGGCTGGACAGGAAGACGACGTATGTGTTGACCGCGTCCTCACGGTCATGCAGCTGCACCATACTTGCGGCGGAGCGCCATAGCATCACCAACGGCTTGGGTGTGAGGAGTGCCAAACGTTGGCACGCCTCCGCCGCCGCCGCCTGCCGCCGGCCGCATCGCGCGCATCGCGCCCGCATCCCCACTGCCTGTGCGTGAAGCAGGCCACAGGGATTATGGCGCGAATCAGCACCACTGAATTGCGCGGGGTGGAGCAGTGGGGCAGGAGACACCACAGGCAAGTGCTCCTCCGGAAGCAAGGTGCTTGAACATCGTGACACAAAACCATGAGGGCACGCGTGGGCAGCATGCAGGCCCGCCCTGGCGCACACCTGACGACTCCCCAAAGCTGAGGGCCGGCAGCGCCGCCGCCGTGGCGCCCTCCATCCCCGGGATGTCTGACACGTCAGGCATGCGCTGCACCCTGCGCACCACACATGCAGTGCGTCGTTTGAGGTGTCAATCGGGCGGGCACTGGGATCACGATCTGTGTGGGGCGCGTAATGCCATCAAGAAGGGCATGCAGGACATGCACGTCTTGGCTGTACAGGTGTGCCCTTGCTCAGCAACCCGGCCCCTGTCACCGCACTTTTTGCCTGTGGTGGCTTCGTACAGAAACTCCAGCAGTGCCAGCGCGCTGCCATGGGACCCCTGCAGGCCAGGGGGGGGGGAGAGGGGGGCGGCAGCCTGGTGTGCCGGTGGGCGTCGCCGCCGGAGTCTCCTGAGCAGGCCCGGCTGCGAATGAGCGTCCCGCACTGCCAGCTGCCCGCCCCAAGCCCCTACAGTACCGTGGATGCCATAGTCACTAGGGTATCCTTCCGTCTCTGTGTCACTTTCAGTCCGCCCCGTCCACCCGCCCCCCTCTCGGTCGCACGCGCGCTGGTGCCCTCGTCCCCCTCGTTCTCTCCGTCCCTCCTCACCCGCAGCGTCCCCTCCGCCATCTCATCCGTCAGCGCCAGACCCTTGCGCCGCGCCGCCTTCATAATCTGCAGGGGCCACCAACACAGCCGGGTGCCTCGGCTGACCCACGACACGGCAACCCTCAGGAGTGAGGCAGGCGGCCGCCTGTCCACGTTGCTGCTGCGCTTTCGCCCGCTCCTCAGGTCACAGCTGCGACGGCTCACCACCCACGGCTCCGTACATGCACCCCTCAGGCCTGCGCCGCTGCTCACCTGCTCCCAGTTGTCCCGCCGGACCTTCTCACCGATCCCGTTCTCAAAAGTGCACATGCGCACCTCACCCTGCGGCCGCATCGGTCACGTGACTCTCTACTAAGTCGCACTTGCAGACGAGCAGGTGCGTGGCAGGCTCAGGCATCTGCTGGTGCACCCCTGTGCTGAGCAGCTGATACGCTAAGCAAAAATTTCGTTCCCCACCTGCGTGTCCATCGTCACACGTGACCACGACCCCCGCCTGCGTCCAGGCGACCAAATCCAAGGGATCCTATCCCTTGGGATCCTGCTCACCGGGTAGAACCTGGCTAGCATCTCGGCAACCAGGTAGCCATTTTGCAGGTCGCGCCGCGGGTTGGTGATGCTCTGGCTCTGCGTCGGCAGTGCGCGCTCAAGCTGTGGCTTGCTGTGCAGAAGATGTGCATATTTTCCCACGCGTCCACGCAGCATCTGGATGGCATGCTCATCCATGAAAGCGCATGAAGTGATCAACGCATCTGCGCGCTTGGACGGACCGCATCAGTCATCTGCTCACCAGGTCCAACGAATGCACAAATTTCAACACGTCGCGGCTCGGCGGCGGGGAGCCGGGGCGCGGCTGGTAGCCCCACACGCCGCCATCGTCCCGCTTCTCGCGCGGCTTTGTCAGAGTCGTACGTATTGGCAGGCCCGTGACGCCAGCCGCCACCGCCGTGGGCGAGCGCCCCATTGCAGCGCTTTGCTGGGTGCGCAGAGAGGAGCGCTCTGGCTCGTGCTGCGTGCTGTTGACCAATGCGCTGACTGTCTCGTGGCGCGCGCTCAGCTACGCAGCACGTGACATCAGGAAGCAGAACACTGCCTAAACACTCCGTGAGGCACTTCCGAGCGCTGGAGATAGCGATCAAACAGTCCCGGGTACGGTACGCCGTTCGACGGAAGTGTGTGCACGGTGCAAACTCTGCCCCTTACAACAATGAAGAATAACTGCGTATTGAGCAATGACTGGATTTTCGAGATACCGTTCACAAGCTTTTTGATCTAGTAGCTCTGTGCTGCAAGGCCCATGGGAGTTAGATAGCAGCCATGAGCGACCATGGACAAAGGTGGATGTTTGAAGATGGTGTGTGCCCCGCAAAAGGCGCCTGACAGATCGCCAAAGGAGTTGTTCGCTCCCGCGCGCGCAGGAATCGGCGGAGAGGGAGCGGACGGACTGCAGAGAGCGCCTACAGCAGAGCTCAGCAGGAAAACAAGCGGTGAGCGCACCCGGGTTTGCACCATTCGATTTGCAGCATGCCGCTGCGCCGCTTTCGGCACCGGCTGCACTCCATGCTCAATCCACTTCATGCATGCATCACGGCCTCCCTTGCCCAGGGCGCTATATCACTGCAACTACTGCCATACGGACATCTCCAATGAGGTGCGCATCAAGTGCGCCGACTGCCAGGACTTTGACCTGTGCTTGGACTGCTTCGCGGTCGGCGTCGAGGTGACGCCGCACAGAAACACACACAGGTGGGCGTGGGCACGAGGAAACTACCAGTGGGAAGATTGCAGGTGTTGCGCAGAGCCCTGCCTGGTGGGCCCCAGGGAACCTGGCCGCAGCAGCGCGGCGCAGCCACGGCAGCGGCGCAGCTCGTGCCCACTGGCTTCGCAGCTGACCAGGGAGCTTTGTCAGCCCGAGTTCCCGCGGCGCTGGCGATCCCGCGCCCCATTCGCAGCGGTTAGACACCCGATTACTGCCGCCGTGCTCTCTGCAAGCCAGCCCGCCGCAGCATAGCCTCCATCTCGGGTCATCCCCTCGAAGCAATCCGCGCAGCCACCAGCCTTTCGAACCCCAACAATGCCCACGCATGTGTGCGCATGCTGCGCCGCAGGTACCGCGTGGTGGACAACCTGAGCTTCCCGCTGCTGCACCCCGACTGGGGCGCCGACGAGGAGCTGCTGCTGCTCGAGGGCTGCGACGTGTACGGCTTCGGCAACTGGGCCGCGGTGTCGGAGCACGTCGGGACAAAGAGCCGCGAGCAGTGCAGGGAGCACTACTTTTCGACTTATGTGGACGTGCCCACCTTCCCGCTGCCGACGCCCGCACCCGAGATGGCGGGGGTGAGTGGCGGGGGGCCATGAGGCGTGGGGGGCCAGGAGCACCGCCGTGGCCGCGGCCCCGCGCGCGCCGGGAAGGGCGGCGCGCTCTGCGGGTCTGACTGTGTGGCTGCGGCGACGCCCGCGCGCCCTCGAGCATCCTTGGCCGTGCGGGGGCGCGGCTGGCCCGCGGCCGCCTGCTTGTGTTGCGACCCGACCCGTGCCGCGGCCTCCACATGACCCCGCGAATGCCTCGTCCTCCACCCTTGCTGTCAACATCATGTGCTGATGATGGTGATGCTGATGATGGCGGTGGTGGCGGTGGGGGCGGTGGCGGCGGCCGCGTCAGGTGGACGTGCGGTGGCTGGCGGACCAGGCGCGCGCAGGGGGCGGCCGCAAGCGCCAGCGCTTGGACCCGCAGCAGCTGCAGCAGGCCAACGCCGACAACCCCCGCCAGGCCAAGGCCTCGGCGGGCGGCGCGCCGCCGGCGGCCGCCGCGCAGCAGCCGCCCGCGGCGGCGCAGCAGCAGCAGAAGGGCTTTGCCGGCGCGGCGCCGGGGGCGGCGGGCGGCGCGGGGCCGGGCGGGCAGCCGGGCGGGCTTGGCCTGAGCAGCAAGGGGCTGCCCCATGGCGCGGCGGCGGGCGTCAAGGCGGGGTCTGGCGGCTGGGACACCACGGGGTGGCATGCAAAGCGCGGGGAGTTTGACTTTGAGTATGACCAGGTGGGGTGTGATTGTGCGGTTGTGTGTGTGGTTGTCTGAGCATGCATGTGTTCGTGTGTGTGTGTGTGTGTGTGTGTGTGTGTGTTTGTGTGTGTCTCAAGGGTGTGTGCGTGGGTCTGTGTCTGTGTCCGCAGGAAAAGCAGCTGTAGCTTGAATCAGGGGCTGCGGCCCTCCGCCCAAGGTGGCCGCCTCTCGGGGGGCCGCTGCCCCTCACCCGCTGCCCAGGAAATGCTCCCTTCCATTGCAAACTGCCCGCAATTGAGCCATGAACTCCTCCTGCCCTCGCGAATTGCCCCGCGCAACAACCCATGCCCTTCCCCTACCCCCATTCCACACACTCACACGCCCTTCTGT